GTGACTTTTACTGTCCTGCTTTTCTTGTCGGGGAGGGGTCTGTGGGTCAGGGAGGGGTCTGTGGGTCAGGGAGGGGTCTGTGGGTCAAGGAGGGGTCTATGGGTCAGGGAGGGGTCTGTGGGTCAGGGTCGTGAGGAGGAAGCAGATGAATGGAGTTGCGCACGGGAACTTTTATTTAAGATTTAAGTAGTTTTTTATTTCAACGGTCCTCATGGCTCAGCAGCAGAAGCATAAATATTACTGTTAAGAAAGCTGATGATAAAGTTGAATAAATATCTAAGTCTGATTATGAAGGTAAATTAAATATCTGACAGTGATCATTACACAGTGTGGCTCTAATTCCTCACTTCACCATCTGTGTCGCAGTTTCACGTCTCCAAAATGAGCGTACGCATGGGTCAGAGCTGGCTGAGGCACCGCACATTTTCACGTCAAGTTTGGATTTTATAAATCACAACCTTGGCGTAAAAAGTGGGGTATGCAAGTTTCTGGGCTCAAATTGTGCGTACGCCAGTTTTATAAATCTGACCCCTGGATATCTAACCCATTTCATTTAAGATATTTTTAATCAGAATTGAGTCACAGTTAAAAGCAAGATATCTTGAAACAATGACTCAGCAAAACTAACTTAAATATCCAGAACTGTATTTTTGACTTGTCACTATTCCTTTTACGTTTTCTTGAACTGGAGCCTCCAAACATCTTAATGGGAAATCTGACATCTTTTTACTCATCAGAATGTAATTAAAGATATCTTAAACAGCTAATATGACGAGTCAGAAACCAGTTTCAGATATCTGGAATGTACGTGTTGTAAATATTTTTATGTTAAAATGACCTGACGTAAACCAAAGTCACTCTCTGGCTGATTTAGATCTGAGTGTTTGAACGACAGACCTCTGCTCACAGGTTCATTGTGACTCTGATCACCTCTGTGAGGCCAGTTATTGAGGACGATCCTGCACGGCATCCCATCCAACCTGCAGTGCTTACAGTACCTCCCAAACCATGACTGGAATGACCGGAATGTGCATTTTACAGCGTCCCTGACAGGAAAAATGTGGACGCGTCGGGTATTTCTCAGCATCCACTTTAAAAGGATTTAATTACAGGTGTTTTTTCAAAAGAAGCCTCGTCATGCTCCAGGCGATGGGTTACATCGTCGGTCTCAGCGGGTCTTGCTGAGGAAGCTCGCAGCCTGAGAGACCCTGTAGCGCTCCAGAAGGTTCCTTCTGCGCACGTGCTCGTTGGTGATCTCGATGACGTTCGCTACAGGGAACCAACCCTTCTGACCATCGGACAAGCGGCTCCCTTCATACCAGCCTGGAAAGAAAGAAGCCGAGGGGAGGAGGGCAAACGAGGGAAGATTGTGTCTTCATGTAAGTGAGGTAAAAGGAAAATCAAACTGTTAAACTAGATCAAGGTGGTGTGTTTAGACAAGCAGAAGTTGAAAAAACTTAAAAAATACATATATTGCGATCAGTTAGTTACTGGTTTGTTTAGTGCATTCTTACCCTCGTTGGTTTTGCGGATGACGTTGACGATCTCAGCGGGCTCCAGGCTGAGCTCGTCTGCTTGCTCTGCRTCGTACTGCTCCACACACTGCACCTGAGGACAATCTGAGGCAAACACAACCTTCAGCACACATCCAAACACAAACACAAACACATCTGTCAGCGTGGATGAAGTGTGTTGTCCTCACCGAAGTCCTCATAAACCTTTTCCTCGTCATCTTGGGTAGTGGAGTCTGGGAAAGCTGCCAGCCATCGCTGCTTGTCCGACCTGTCGACAGAAACCTCGTTTGACTTCAAGAAATAACGCTTCACTCTGAACACTTGGTGTTGCAGGAACCGCTCATGCCCACCGGACCTGTTCAGGGTGAACCCAGCCTGGAGATGGGCACCTGCTCCTTGAAATCCTAACAGGAAGTGGTTATGAATATGGTTGGATGTGTCGGGCTTGAACAGAGGGTCCTTTTCACCCATGGACTCCACCTTATTTAGGRCGTTCATGAACTGGGTCTCAAAATTCAGTTATGGAGTCACGGTCTCAGRTTTGGAAACTTCAGGGCCTCATTCTCGTTTTTTGCAGAGCTTCGACTTAAAGTCTTGACCTTCGATGTGTGTTGTGGTGGTTTGAATCAATCAGCTCTTTTAAGTTCAAGGACATGGTTCTGAACTGGAAAAGAGTGGAATGTTCCCTTTGGGTCAGGAGAGCGTTTTTACCTAGGKGTGTCCYRATACTAGTTTTTCCTCAAACCAAATATGAGTACTTCAGTTTGGCTACTCACCAATACAGAGTATTTACTCAGTTAGAACTTAAACATTACAGGATGATTAAAAAACTTTTCTTGTCTTTAGAACGTTGTACCAAATCAGACACACATCTGATATTTGATGTCTGAACACTCGTGAGGTGAGGGTATATGGATCAATCCAAGAAATATGGACACCAACCTCGAGTCATGCTGATTAAATCTCGTAACTCCACAYGTCTTCAGCTACAAAACCAATTGAGCAAGTCCTGTTGCTTTGTCTYATTTTTTTAATTTTCCATGTCTTGGATGACTGAGAATGAGCTCTGATTGCGCAACTTCAGAATCAACATGCTAACRTGTAGCATCCACAGCTGAGATGAGCTTCCACAGGAAGAAAGAAATACGGTTCAGACATTTAACTGGGATGCCTCCCTCTGGAGGCCTGAGATTTAGGAGGCAAATTAAATCTGTGTAATCTAGGGACTAAACCACTAACTAAACCAGGGGTGAGCAATGCTGGTCCTTGAGGGCCGCAGCCCTGCATGTTTTACTTTTTACCTGCTTCAACACACCTGATTCAGTCAATGAATARCCTCTTTCAAGTATTGCAGAGGCCTGATAATCACCCATTCATTCAAATCAGGTGTGTTGCAGCAGAGAAACAAGTAAAATACGCAGGGCTGCGACCCCTTGAGGACCAGGATTTCCCACCTGTACTAAACGTTTGAGTGTTGATGATTTTACAGGGTTCCTACAGCTTAAGGCAAGTTACATTTAAAGGGGCAATATCAAGTAAAATCAACTTTTTGAGTTTTATATCATGTTATAACGTTAGACTCTCATAAAAAACATGCCCAAAGCCTTGCTTTGGCTCATTCATGCATGTTTGAGAAATCCTGCAGTGTTTTTAGGCAGCCATGCTGAGGAGCAAAGCAACAGGTGGGGACCAGAAACGCCTTTTGGTACCAGGAACGCCCCTGGGACGTGTCTTTAAGCCGAACTTCCTCATGGCGGAGCCCCCCACCCCCCAAATTTTTTTTCAATTCAATGCCTTTTTAAAGACTTTTTAAGGATCTGCAGGAACCCTGTTTTATTTTGACCGGTTGCTTCTGCCGGCAGAAGTGGGTGACTAAAACTTWCGTTTTATTGTGAAACTTCTGGGACAATAATGGCGGYATCTTTAGAGAAGTCAGGCAGGAGTCTCCAGAGCAGACCCAGACCTGATGGAGGCGTTAAAGTGGACTTTGACAAGACAAATGTTCCATGTGATTCCATTCTAATCAAGCATGACCAATGTCACCTGCTTCAGAGAGTCACCAATTCTCGTCATTCCTCAATAAGAACATGCAGTTCCAGAAAACCAAGCTGAGCCTCCACATTTCTGAGCTGCTTTCGTCTCCATGTCAAGGAGTGCAGTTGCACTCAGGTACTCACTTGGAAGGAGCTTTGAGGAAACGCTCAATCGCACGTCCCTGGTGGTTTTCCAGGATGACGAGGACGAAGCTGTTCTCATAGACGCTGTCTTCAGCATTCGGCTGGACCTGCACTAGAGAGCGGTGAGCGTAGTCCGCCACCATAAAACGCTCTCCGCTGCTCAGGACGAAACACACGAGAAGGAAGAYGCCAGTCAAAGCAGGAATGTAGGAATGAAAAGACACCAGGACATGGTACACCTGAAGCCTTAAACAAATATCTCATGTCATATTGCATTCACTCTTCTGTTCACCTAAACAGGTTTTGGTGTCACTTCCTGTGAAATTTGAGGACGTCTGGGCCATACTCAAGGGTCCAGAGTGAGGCAAATGAGAGTGGAAGCAAGTGTGGGTGATTCACCTTTCTCACTCACATTTTAAAGTGCCCGTGACAGCATTTTTTTTGTAATAATAACAATACATTTTTGGAAAGATAACATTGACAACATATTGTGAAAAAAAATTCCATGCCCCTGAGATGAACAGTTGTTGAGAAATTCACAGGTGAAGTAACAGGAAGTGATGTCAAAGGGGAACTCCTTAACAAAGAAAGCTCTCTGGTCTTTGTTTATTGAAACAATCTTATCTGAACTCTGACTCTTCTTCATCTCTCTGATAGTGACTCAAAAGAAACATCAGATCCTTCTCYACAGTCTGTGTTATCAGCTGTTGTAGCAACGCTCCGCTCACATGCAGACATTCCCCTTTGAAATCACTTCCTGTTACTTCRCAGGCAAATATCTCAACAACTGTTCATCTCAGCGACATGAAATATCTTTTGCAATATTTTATCAATGTCCTCTTTCTAAAAATGCGTTCATATGTATTACAAAAAATGGACATCACAGGCACTTTAATCCAATATTTATGGTCATTATTCCATTTCTGCTCCAGTGTTAAGGGTTTAGTTTTTAGCTTTTATTTTCTTTACATTTTCCAGTCACACTAACAATGATTTGCTTCATGACACTGGTGTCAACGCTTTCTGTTTAAGGCCATAAACAATGCTGCTTTAAAAAACTGATTCCACCTCACCTTTTCTTGACAGCGATGACGAGCAGATCATTGAAAAGGAAGAGGTTTACAGGGCTGAACTTCATCCTCATGTTCACGATGGTTTTTCCTCTGGACATCTCCAGAAGCTCACCTTTCTTCTCCAGAAATCGAGTCTCTGAGATGATCGGGATGGCCTGAGGACAGAAAATAAGCCGGAGTTGTTTAGATTAAGGATTAGCAGATGGTATTAATACAGTCATAATACCTAAATCTTCCTAAATAAGAAAATTAGGAGCACTGAGAATCTCATGGCTCGTGCCTGTTTCTGTGTGCAGGTTTAAACTCACCTTGACTTTATTATCAAAATCCAGCATGTTCGAGAGATGAACCAACTCCTCCACCTGCCTCATCTTCCCCACCTCCGTGTTACACTTGTCGATAATCTGTTTGATCCAGAGGGAGGAGTTAGAAAACCACTAACAAATTATCTAATTATTTACAGCGTTCCTCAACACTACTCCTAAAACTCCAGGTAGAATCCTCTTTAATGTTACTCTACCAGTAAGTTTTTCTTTTCTCTTGATGTTTGAATTCTTTTACCAAAGCTCAGTTTCAATCGGCCTCACTGAACTCTGAGTCATCACCACGAAAGAAATCATCCAGCAGGAAATATTTCAGGGTGGAMTTAAACAGATCTGTCTGCAGGAGAGAAAGCTGTTTACCTTCGAGACTGAATCCAAAGCCTTGATGGCCTCCTGCTCCTCTTTCGTCCCCTGCTTTGTTCTCTTCAGGATGTTCTGAAACGACAACTTTTTWAAAAAAAATTCTGCATACTTTTTGTTTTTCCCCATCAAGATGCAAAAGAAGGGTCAGAAGGTCGGGGCGTATCTGCTCAGGTGACATGAAGAAGTARGAGTTTTCTGAGTGGAAAAGTTTATTCTGGATGAGGACACTCCACGCAGCCAAACAACCGTTTAGTTTCTTTTCTGTCTCGGTCAAATCATTCAAGTTTGTTAAAATTTCCCCTTTTATCTTGCTTAGTGGTCGTTTTGTAACATTTTCCAACTGAACAGGTCCGTCTCGTGTTCTGCAGTTCAATGTTTTGATAATAAACATTAATTACAGGTAATAAACTTGCCCGCACCTGTCTGTGTCTGTTGGCAAAATATCTCATGAACCACCAGATGGGTTTTTGTGAAACTGAAAGTGATCTCTGGACGCAGCAGATCTACAGCTGGTTACCTTCTGAAGTCAAACTGATTAAAAACAGTTGTTACAGCTAAACAACTTTAGCAAAAACAAAAAAAATGGCAGCTACTACTTTAAGATAATATTACACTGAAGCAGTGAGTCATTAGATCATGTGAGGTCTTTAAATAATTCAGAAGTACTCCCAGTTTTTCTTAGAGAAACTTCTGGTGCTGTTTCAAACATTAACCAACTCCAAGCAGGAGAACCTGTTTTTCAGGTTTCTATTATTCACGGCTGCTCTTTATTTGTTATAAACTTGTCAAAGTATTTCAGGTCATCAAATGTTTTTTTTTTTTTTGCCACAATGCTTCTTGGTAATAAATCTTATAGCGTACACCTGATCGGCAGCGCCTGGGGGTACCAGAAGCTCAAAATAAGTCTCAATAACAGCAAAATAAGCTTTTTTTTTCACCAACCGATCAAAAGGGGGAAAAAAGGGGGAAAAAAAACAGCTAAATAAGCTTTTTAGAGGAGACGACGTGGCACATTTTTCRTATGTACTGTACAACCCACATACTCAGATCTACTGCTCATCCCACAAATGCATGTTCCTTACAAATGTGGCTCCATTTAAAAATTAAATGAACAGGCTTTGCAACAATATAAGATTTATTACCAAGAATCATTGTTACAACAAAAAAATAATCAACCAAACACTAATTTCCTTACTTCTTGGGCTAATAGATGATTCAAAAGCTGCAGAAACAGGTTTTAAAAAAGAGGACCTGGTATTTTCTGACTTCATGACTCACATCGTTATTGAAACTGGAGGAGCCTGAAGTGCAACTGGATCACTCTGTCTTCATGTATTTACTGATAAAATCTGCATAGCTTGGACATTAAGGCTCCACCTGCAACGCTGCTCACCTCAATCAGCATTTTGATGCGAGTTATTCGCTGGAAGGGGAGCAGCAAGAAGGAGACGAAGGGCAGCCGCTGGCACTGAGGCGACTCTTGCAGATGTTTGATCACGTTGGCGAACTGTGTGTTGATCTTCCTGCAGAAACACAGAAGAGGCGGTGAAATGTGTCATTTTCCTGTAAGGGAGTGAACATGTCTGCATTCCAGACGGTTCTGAGGTTTGTCTGACTCACGGGGACAGGACATACTTCCCATGAAGCAGCCGGTTCTTACTTGAGCTCAGTGAAAGTCTTCTCTTGGTAGATCTGGTTGCGAACGTAGTCGATGTAGGCGGGAAAGTTGTGCTGAGCGTGGTAGTGGATTATGCCACAGATGTCCGTGAAGACGATGTCCTTAAAGATGTGGTCCTCCAGGTCTTTCAAGAACCTGTGACACCAAGCAGCACAGGTTTCTGTATCTCAGTATACTACAAAGATTGGTGGTATTTTACTGCTGATTGAAGCAGATGCAGTGTGTAGAGAAAGCACAACCAACCTGCAAAACGTTTGAATTATTTTAGCTTCTTGTGACTCATTTGAACAGAACAGTGTTTTTCCAGAGTTCTTCAGAAAACATTCGGGTCTAATAAATGGTCTAAACCTGCTCACCTTCATTTCAGAAGTGAACTTCAGTAATTGTGGGGGGCAGCTGCCAAAGCATGTACAATTACAATGAAAGTGGGCAATGAAATAATGTGTAAAACTTCTGCAGACTGGAGATAAGCCTTGATTCTCAAAAACTGGCCAAATAAAACACAACTAACCCCACAGCTAACTAATCTTCAACAGTCAAGGCCCAGTAAAGTGGACATATCATGCTTTTAAATCCTTCTWTTTCACCTCATTCTGTTGGGTCTATATAAAGTGGAACTGCAATGCTTTGGTCTGAATTCCTCCTTATTGTAACTCCACAATCCCCTCAGATCAATTAGTTTTGAGGCTGTCTCTTTAAATGTAAAAGAGGCAGCTCACACCCTGCCACACCTCCAAGAATATAAAGATATCTACGCACCACTGGTAGAGACTAAATTAAACTTTTCTGCACTCCTGGAGACTCAAGCTACACAACAAAATGTGTTTAAAGGGTAAAAAAGTGGCTTTTGTTCCCTTTAAAGGGATCTATGATTAGTTGTAACATTACTCTTTATTTAATAAACATATATTTTAACTGTAAAATAAAGACTGTAAAAATACTGTAGGCTGTTTAGTTTTTATAATTTTTTTAATACATTTTAACACAGTTTGAGCCACTTTATTTACACGAAAAGCATTCTGGGTAGATGATGACGTGCATAGGTCCTCGGTACGAGGCTGCTAGCGAGCTATATCCACCCTGAAGGTTAATCTTGGGCAATATCTAATGATCGACTCTTTTAAATGAAACCAGA